TAATAAATGTGCCAGACCCTAAATAGTCATTTTAATATTTAATTTTTTTTTAATTTAATAGTTTTGTCTATTACTCTTTTATTAGAAAGTACCAGAACTTATATTAATAGCAATATACAATTTTCTATACTATATTTTATATGAGTAAAGATCAATTCAAGTTAAACTCAGAGAATAGCTCACCTAGCTAGAGGTCTGATCTAATGAATAGTATATTCGAATATTTATCAAATAATAATTTTTTCACCAAATTGAATATTCGAATATTTAATTTTTTTACTAAATATTCAATTAATATTCAATAAATATACAGTATATATAATTAAAAATTTTAATTGACTAATTAAAATAAAGAATTAGATTTAATAATCTTAGTATATTTAATATATTTATATTAAATTAGTTTATAAATATAAAAAATTTTAGTAATTTATTTATTTATAATATATATTTATATACAAGTTCTTGAACAATCAGCTTTGTTTCCACAATTTTTGGAATTGAACTTAGATTTTACATGTCCCACCAAACCAAACTCTACAACATTAGAAATTGAGTTACTAAAAAAAAAGATTGAAATAATAGAAAAAAAAACTTGAAATCTTTAAAAGACCTAGTACAAGTTCTTTGAAGTTGGTGCTTAAATATTCCTTGCAATATGATTCAAAACCAGCCAAAGATCTGGAAGTTGACGAAAAGCAATTCGAATCAAGATTGCTAAGAAACAAAAAGAGAAACCTATGCTTTTCTCTCATCTTTTTACAAATAAAAGATCTTTATAACAATTGAAGGAAGTGAAAGAAGAGGCTGAAAAAGTAGCTAGCGAAAAGCAACATAAAAAAGAGATAGCTGCTGAAAAACAAATTGCACGTGAAGCCAAAAAGACACAAAAAGAAGAGAACCAGAAGCAAAAAAAGCTAAGATGGAATGTATAAAGGTGAAAAAGCAGCGTATTAAAAATATGAAACAATTTAAAAAGTAGAAATAATAGAATTTTAATTTTTTTTTTGCTGCAGTGCACTAATTTAGAGTGATCTTTTGATAATCTCGATTTATAGTGAAATTTATATAATTAGACAAAGTTCATCTTTTTTTTCTAAAAAGTTTTTTTTTGTAAATAAAGATTTATTTCAAGTTAATATATACCGAATTTAGTAAAAAAATGTAAATTTTTATACTGATTTTGAGAAGATTTACTATATATAAGGTAGATATGCCTAATTTGGCGCAGGTAAGTTTTACGACGAATATCACGTGATATATCAATCAGAATC